ATACAAAAACCGTTGTCCCAGCTCTCTAGTACACTCTCGGGCACAACTGGACGCAATCAACACCAGCCCTGGAATTGCCAGTGGCCACTACTGCCGGAGACAGCAACGCAGGTACCTGTACACAATAAACTCCTCATTCTAGTGATTTCTTTCTTTATCTACAACTGAGGAATTGATCTAATGACTGAAGGGCCCTGAGTACAACCACTACTTCTACACTAGAACGTTATCGCTGTATTAGCAACCTCTGGAGTAGCTACTCAAGCAGAATGCTATCTGTATAAATGCGGCTTTAGGATAACGCAGTTGCTGTAGCATAACGCCATCTTTATGTGAGACATGGTGAGAGAACACGCCTGCACGATAGCCTGCTATCGAAGACGCCCTTCGAAATGACCCAAAAGCATAATCAAAACAAAACAATTCTACTTTTCTTAAATAAGTAGGCATATATAAGTGTGGTTCCCGGTGAGGTCGCACAATCAGTCGCCGTCATTCCAACTCTCAGACCAGTACAAAACACAGTAACTGGAACCGGCGCCCGCCTCCAAAGTATTCGGAACATTAAATCCGCTAAAAAAAACTAGATGCAGAACGCGGTTTTCGTCAAAATGGCTGTCATAAATGGTCATCCGGGATGAGTCATTTGACAGTATTAGCATGTTCGGCTACAGCAACTGGCAGAAATTTTAGGCTCGGAAAAGCGTTTTAAATACAATCAACAGGAAGTTACGTTGTGATTTTGAAAGCGTGGTGTCGACCGAAGGAAGGTTTCCCAAATCAGAAGTCAGGCAAGACAGAGTAATTTATAAAAGCTTTTCAAAGCGGTAAAATGCGCTTTACAAAGGCCCTGTCAAATGCTAGCTGCCAGCTGTGTCTCCAGGCCAGTTGTGACAGTGTATATCAGTGCGCGTGGGATTACAGGAAATGGGGATATATGCCCTGTTGGCTGCAGTAAATCAATAACAGGTGCACACTGGCGTTGAGGTCCCGCGGCTGCGAGCCCACCGTGAAACAGGCAGCACGTGCGGCCCTGCAGTGGATCGACAGGGAGGCTGGGGCGGACAAGAGCGGACGGGGTATATTGTCACGCGTGAGTGCAAGACTTGGCAGACGAAGGCACGATGATTCAGCACAGTGCTGCTGATCACGGACTGTCATCTAAGCAAACTCGCCGGACCCATGCGGCCAGGGGCGTCCTGTCTGCGCGTGTGGCTCCCACTGTAAGTAAGTTAGCCAAAGACAAAAACAGTTAAAATCCGCGTAAAATCTCATGAAGTGTTAAGAAGAATGCTGAAAATCGTTTTCGAATAAGAGGGGTTACTTAAGTGGGGTTGTAATATCGATTATCTAACAAAACCAAAAGACAGGCTTTAGAATGTCCCTCCTATCAGCAGTCTGCAGCCATCTGCATAGTTGAGCACCCTCGTGTTAGCCTGCTGAAGCACGCGGTGACAACCGACAGATTCCTCCTTTACGAGGCATTTACTAGACGGCAAACATCCCGCTTAACAAAAGGTCATTTTTAAAATGTCGTACGCCCTCGGACAGTTGCGACCCCAAATCGTGTGGAAGCCGGAGAGTCCAAGCGGCCTTGTCCAAACAAATAGCTCTTGACGATTCGGCGATCGAATCTGTCGGTTGTCACCGCGTGCTTCAGCAGGCTAACACGAGGGTGCTCAACTATGCAGCGGAAATAAGGAGAAAGGGAACCGACCAATCGAGGCCAAAATTCTCACAGAGACTGCCAACCGCGTGGACAGTTTGAGTCTTGGTTCTCTGGTCTGCAGTCGATTACCAAGCGCATTTACCTCGCGTTTCTATATTTTATATCGAGACAGAGCATTTGGCAACGAGGGGAGAAGACGCCGGTGACCATGGTCAGCATCACCTCAGGAACTGAGAACGGGGATGAAATTTCGCAAAACAAACAACTCGGACGCCAACCAATCATCGCGTTGTGCACGACCTCCAGCGATGAATGAGGCATTTGCTAATTGGATTAGATACCTAGCTGCATAGCGTCTGTTTCCTATTAATGACTGGCGCTCCCCCATCACACTCATCTGCGACCGTTTCTGATTATGGGTTCCAGCGAAAATCCGAAACGCCAGGTCAATAAACATCATGTTCTAGAGATCGTATCTTCCGCTTCTTCTGAACTTCTTCCTGGAACTCGTCTCTCCGTTTCTGTCAGCAGTTGGATGAAGCCTTAAATATGGAGAGTCGCAGATAAGGGGCCTGATCAGAACCCCAGAGCTGCAGTATTTATAGAACACAGTTGCCACGCAGCCACACACCTAATCTAATAAACAGCTTCTGCATTCATCGTTGTTGACCGTAACTGCTTTAAGACGACAACTGGTCTGCGTCCAAGTCATAAATTTTCGAACTTGTACCATCATTCTAGATTCTTGGCGTGACGATTACTCCGCCCTTTGGCTGGCTGTCACTGTGGTTGTTAGTTGTCCGCACCCTCACCGTGTGGCTAATAAGTTTGTTCGGGCAAAATCAAAGTACAGAATATACATGCTTCATTGTGCTTACTAATCGATGATGATGGGTTAAAGGCAGCATCCGAAACGTCAAGCTAATAAACGCCAACTTCCAGCGATTGCATCCTTTCTTCTGAACTGTTTTGTGCAACTCGCCTGTTCGTTTCTATTAGAAATTTTCCTTTATGTTAATTTTGTGTCTTTCCCCTTACATTGCACGATTCAGGACGAATGAAGGGGAGTTTTCGCAAAGAGCAATCATATTACAAGGGAGGTGGAGGAATCATGCACTTCAAGTCCATAGGAATCGCCTAAAGAGTGCATTAATCTACCCAGGCCTCCATCAGTCTGCAGCAAAAATTAATAATTGCAGTTGTAGCAATCTGAATGCGACGGCAGACTTTGCACTCAAAAAATGAGGAATGATTAATGTGTCCCACGCACGCTGAAAGTACACATCAGTCCCAGTGGGCATTATCTTGCGGAAATTGCGAGGTGGAAATGCCAACAGGAAGCAGATGTGCGGTATGGCTGAAAATTCGTGCAAATTCATGACTGAAATTGTACTTGGTAGATTAGCCCACATTTGGTCACGTAAGTTCGGTCTAATGAGTTGACTGAATCCAGAGAAAGCCTTCTAGTCGAGTTCGGTATATTAAACGTAATAGGCATTAATTTTGGCGAAATCGGAGGTGGTAGAAATTTCCTATGCTGTGAAGTATAACAGAATCAAACCGTTCATAGCATTTTGCTAGGCGACAATTTCAATATAAACAAAAAATCAACGGAAAGTTGATGAAAATCAGGAGAAACCCAGTTTAAGGAAGCGCTTTTTTTTCAGAAACAAGGAACGATTTCCATGAAGAATATTATTTTTTGCCAGTGTTTGAAAGTTTTTATCATAAGACGCAGTAAAAACGTTTTGACCGCATTTTGTTTGATCGTATCAACGATGTATGACAGTAACCAAAACTGCATTTATTTTATCGCAAAGATAAAGATGAGAACCAATCTTGTTACAGGCACGTGCGAACATACTTTTATATGCAATAAAATTTCTGCTCTTGCGTAATTTAAAAACCAATCAGACAAAAGATTAACGATTTTCGCAACCTTTTAGTTTATATTCGGTCCCTCTTTTTTGCATTCGCAAGTTTCAAAAAAAATAATTAGGTTAAAAATACTCCAATCTAAAGTAAAAGGGAAGTTTTTCAGCCAAAATTGTGTCATTTCCAGATCAATTAAAAGCTTGTTTAAATTCTTCATTTAACTTTGACATTACCTTGGAAAAGGAAAAATGCTAAATAGCTAATTCAAGTGCTTTTTAAAGAGATAACCTACCATAGAAAGTTGTTTTTATTAATTTTGGCCGTAAGGATGTCAGACTTCTGGTGCGAATGTTATTTCTGCTCGACAATGTGTTTTGATAGTTTTGGCAGGTTATAAATATAGCCCACCTTGCCGTCTTCAAAAGAACTTACATCCAGAAAGCCATTTTTCACTAAATGTTTTAATAGATATCTTATTTTAAAGGTTATGATTTAAACGTCGACCAGAATCTCGTTTTATGGAAGAAATCTTACGAACACTGAAAATGGTCGAAAGTATGACGGAGTATAATGGAGGATCTTAAAGTAATTGTATTCCAATAATAGAAATATAAAAAATTGACTAAATAAAAGTTCGTTTAATAAAAAGAAGGTGGTACGGTTATCCATTAGACTGACTATTATATTTAAATTAAATTGTCTGATTTATAGCAATTTTTATGTCTGTGGAACTTGAGTACCATTTGGAGAATTTATTTTTCTCAACAGAATATCAGTACTTTTTATATTTCTTTTAAGTAAAAAATTCACCCCAGGTCGTTAATTATTATTTTAAACTTTTTGTTCATGCGTTAATGCCGATTTGTGAGTGATTATCAATCTTTCGTAAACTTGGAAGTTTTTCATGACTTCCCACCGTACTCTACTGATTCTTTGAGTCAGCTTTTTCACCGTCTCCAATTCAGCAACGAGATGGCGCAACAGTTAGCAAATATTCTAATGGCAAATGAGTGCGCCTCCATAGGGAACATATAGTGCCAACGGAGGGACAGTACAATACACAGCCCTAAGCGTCCTCGGCTGTGCACGTCATCAACACCAGGACAAGTTTAAAGAAAATTATGCTGTCATCATCAAACTGCTCGTCGAGAAGAACCACGTACACAAAGCCTACATTGATAGCCTTATCGACGCCCCTAAATCCGCCTTCTACCGTAGTCACCATGTCTTAAAGCAGCGAGTATGAGACATGCAGGGGGCCTGGATGAATTGCAAGGTCGGGGAGGTCCAAGTCCACACGGAACCCAACCAATGGAAGAGTTGAAGGCAATGAATGCTGCCGAACGATCCACAGTCAACACTGATGGAATAACTCCACTAGGACGCAAACTCTGAAGCGCTGGCTCGAGCACTTACAAAGTGTACTCAGCCGCCATCGACCACTTGCCTGAAGTGAATGTTCACGCTTAACCTCGATCTCCCACCGGTTCTTTCAGAAACCATCAGGGCCGTGAAGAAACTCTCCAGTGGGGTAACACCCGGATCACATGCGATCCCTGCTTACACTGGCAAATATAGTGACCACAAAATTAGGAACCAACTCAACCCACTCTTTCACGGAATTTGGTGCCAAATACCAGTCCCCCGTGATTTCAGGGACACCGCAAGTTTCCACCTCTTCAAGTGGAAAGGAAATCATCAACGCTTTGACAATCATCGACGAATCTCGGCGCTGAAAATCGCCGGCAAAATCCTCGTCGTACTCTTCTAAAACTTATCAACATCTACCTGAAACAAGGACTCCTGTCGCAAAGCCAGTGTGGTTTTCGCCTTCACTGCCGTACCATTGAAATAACTGTCTTCATAGGACGGTTGCAGAAGAAGTGCCGGGTGATGTGCACCCAACTCTACAAGACAAGACTTTCCGGCCGTACTGTAGACGACATGACATTCGAAGCATCACCGTCTACTCTTACCCAGATGCTTGTTTTGCAATCATCGAAGTGTGATCCTCCCAGAACGTGATGTCTGGCAAGCAGTTTTATCGGCATGTAGAAAAGGAAGGTTGAAATGGCCATTGGCCATGCTGCCTTGACTCCAAGCAGCAAAAATCTGAACTTTCCGCCCCCTTCCAGTTGTTCGTCAGATCAAATTCACACTTGCTACAACCATGGGTTCAAGCTCTATCGGATATGATAGGCGTAGGTGGCAACCAAACATCAGTAACACCAGTCTGGAGGTGACTTCGCGGGGACTCTATATACCAGCGCTAGATTGATAAGTCGATTGACTGAATCCTCATCAAATGCCCAGGCTGCTGTCACTTCGAGGCCTGTCTTTCTTCTGCCGTTAGTGATTACCTTCATGGCCGCGAAGTCAAATTCGTGACCCGTTTCGAAGGTGTGAACAGCCATTTGTCAGCCACAGTCAGTATATGTCCCTGTATGCCCAAACCGAGTCTGCATTCAGCCTGACCTGTAAAGTTGTGCCGGCGTACACAGCCCTGCACACTCACCTCCGGATTGACCTTACTGATTTTTAGATAGGCTGTTCATGACCCCCGGCTCAACTGACAGCTGGTTAGCGTACACCACTGACAGCTGGTTAGCGTACACTACTCACAGCTAATTAGCGTACACCACTTCAATGCCCCCCCGACTCCAGTAACAACTAGTTGCCCCCCCTCCCT